TGAGAGGGTTCCTGTAAAGCCTATCTTTTCAAAATAGCTTTGGCTTTATTCAGGTAAGTTTTCCCTCATATGGAACGTCATACTTGCTTTTAAAATTAGGTAAATGCATCTGACCTACAAAGTGCTGAAAGAAAAGTTAACAGAAGTTGTCTTCCATAGAGAGAAGGAAAACAAGTAAGCAAGCAAGAAAAATTATTTGAAGACTTCTACAAATTAAAACACTTGGCTTCACCTCAAAATCGTCCACACATACAGGTTCTATCTTTTGCTTTCCTTTTTCAATCCATATATTTTGCTAAACTAAAACTTATCCAGAAAGAAGCCTTATCTGAAACCTTGTCTTCATTAAGAAAGATAATGAAATATCTTTCTTTTTTTTTTTTTTTTTTTTTTTTGACAGATTCACACTATCGCCAGGTGCCAGGCTGGAGTGCAGTGGCACAATCTCGGCTCACTGCAACCTCCGCCTCCGGGATTCAAGCCATTCTCCTGCCTCAGCCTCCCGAGTAGCTGGGATTACAGGCGCGCATCACCACGCCCAGCTAATTTTTGTATTTTCAGTAGAGACGGGGTTTCATCATGTTGACCAGGATGGTCTCAATCTCTTGACTTTGTGATCCACCTGCCTCGGCCTCCCAAAATGCTGGGATTACAGGCTTGAGCCACCGTGCCAGGCCCTGAAATATCTGTCTTCATGAAAGAAAATTGTATTTTTACAGTTTCTCAAGTTTCTCAGGATAAGTACCTAGACTTTTCTCTTTTTTAACACAGACCCTGTCTGTCAGAAAGTGAAAATTTAAATCTTTCTAAAAACTACCTAAAATTTTAAAGTTCAATTTTTTTTTCTGAGACAGTCTGGCTCTGAAGTGCACTATACTGTAGTGCAGTGGCGCCATCTCTGCTCACTGCAACCTCCACCTCCTGGGTTCAAGCAATTCTCCTGCCTCAGCCTCCCTAGTAGTTGGGATTACAGGTGCATGCCACTGTGCCCATATAATTTTTGTAGTTTAGTAGAGACAGGGTTTCACCATGTTGGCCAGGCTGATCTTGGACTCCTGACCTCACGGGATCCACCCACCTCGGCCTCCCAAAGTGGTGGGATTACAGGCATGAACCACCGTGCCTGGCCTTTATTTATTTTTTATATGATCACTGGCCCCACCCTAGTCCAAGCTATCATCCCTCTCTCCCAGGCCACTGCAATAGCCTCCTAACAAAGCTTCCTCTTTCCAACCTTGAGAGTCTATTATCCATAGAGCAGTCAGTGCAGTCTGTTTAAAATATAAGTCAAAACATGTCATTTGTTGTCACAATGTCTTTTCATGTGAATGACAGTAAAAGCTAAACTTCTTAGAATGATCTATAAACCTTTGCACTAGCTGTCCCCGCTGCCTGAACAATCTTCTCCCAGCTCTCAGCATGGTGTGATTCATCACTCTTCTTTAGACTTCTGCTCAAGTGTCACCTAATTCGAGTGGTCTTCCCTGATGATACTCTATCAAATCACCACAGCACACTCTCTTCCCTATTCTCCTTAAACTGTGTATTCCCCTCATAGCTTTTGAAAATAAAAGAGAGTATTTCTATGATATTAGGTTCCATACACCAGTCTAAGTATTTTATCCATATTAACTCATTCGATTCTCATAACAGCATCAAGAGATAGTTTTATTATACCCGTTTTACCCATGAGATACTTTAGGCAAGCTAATGTTAAGAATTAGCCCTGGAATACAGGGTTATGGCATAGTAGAGCTGAGATTCAAGCCCTTGCAATTTGTCTCAAGCCTCTACGCTTTTGTCCACTGTGCAATGTAGCTTCTCATATTACAGATAATCTTGCTCATTTGTTTATTGTTTGTCTCCTTCTGCAAGAATGGAAACTTTGTGAATGCAATGTTTTATTCTGTTTCTCACTAGGATATCACAGTTCTCAGAACACTCCTTGCTCACAAAACACTCTCACTAAATATTTGTTGATGATGCCATGCCATCATTCACATTGTTCCTCTGTCTAAAACACATGGCTTTGCCTACACACCTCATTAATTCCCGCTTAGATTTGAGTTACATTCTTCGCTACACTTACAGTTATTTGAAACTGAAGACATTCCTGATATTCTATGTTGGCTAACACAAATCTTTGCACGTAATATAACTTAATACTGTATGAGAGATAACTAATGAATTTATTTGAAAGAACATATTGCTCAGGATGAGGAAACCTCAACAGGTAGTTGTTAGCAGAGGAAATGTGCTTACAAGGATATGCCATAACAATACTCAGAACTGGCTCTACTCTCTCTACCTCCCAAGCTAAGGATGACATTAGACATTAAAAAAAAAATTTTGCTCTGGTCTTATGATTTTATTATATTTTACTCAAGTAGAATATAAAAATAGTTCTCTGGTCACATCCAATAGCATAGGTCCTTTGCCTTATTTCAATTTCAGGACATGAAAATATATCTATATTAAATTACCAAAGGAAACCTGAGGGGAGTCATTATTTTTAAGTATATTTCATTTAATGGAAATTGTATATATATTTGTTAGATCTGTTTAATCAATATTTGTATGCATAATATGTTTTGAATAAAATAATAATTATTGGAATATGCAATATTGTAACTGTAATTGTAAAGCATAAGAACCTAAGAACCAAACCATATTAAAAATCAATTCAGTGAGACTTTGTTATATTTCCTTCATTTCTTAATGATTTTTAGGTGTACACTTTAGTTAATAGATAGGTATGCTGGGTAATAACTTCTCATGCAAAAATTATTTTGTTGACAACATGAAGGTGTTTTTATATCACTCATGGAACAATTCAATAATGAAACCATACTGACTTTCATGAGTTATGTGAATAGAAGGAACTTTTGTGACAAGTGGCCTTTACAATTGCTCACCTTTTCAATTACTTTCACAAATGATTGGCAAATCTCAGTAAAACAGAAGCCATACAGCTTGCAAATCCTAAAATGTTGACTATTTTTCCTTTTTTAGGAAAAAAAAAATTCCAACCTGGAATAACTGAAAAAGCAACAGGTTTGGGTAAATGCAGAGGGAGGGTGAGGTTGCTCAGGAAAACTATGCCGAGTTAATGTGGAAGTCACTATAGGAGTGCTGATACTCCTGTGAGGTCCTGATTTCAATTCTCTTTGATAAATACCCGAAGTGGGACTCCCAGGCTGGAGTGCAATGGCGCGATCTCGGCTCACCGCAACCTCCGCCTCCTGGGTTCAGGCAATTCTCCTGCCTCAGCCTCCCGAGTATCTGGGATTACAGGCACGCGCCACCATGCCCAGCTAATTTTTTGTATTTTTAGTAGAGACGGGGTTTCACCATGTTAACCAGGATGGTCTCGATCTCTTGACCTCGTGATCCACCTGCCTCGGCCTCCCAAAGTGCTGGGATTACAGGCATGAGCCACCGCGCCCAGCCCATCTCTTTCTGTTTTTCATTGTTGCTGCACCACTTTGGATTCCCACCAACAGTTTGTAAGCGTTTCAATTTCTCTAAATCCTCATTAGCACGTGTGTTTTTTCTTTCTGATAATAGCCATCCTTATAGGTGATTTTTGTTTGCATTTTCCTGATAGTTAGTGATGCTGAGCATCAAAGAGATATTAGCACTCCTATTTTAATTGCGGAATTATTCACAATAAACAGGATGTAAAATGAGCTTCAGTGTCCGTCAGCTTTATTTATTCATGAATGGGTAAATAAAGGTCGGCATGTATACGCAAAATAATACTATTCAGCATCACAAAAGAAGAAAATTCTGCAATACTGAACAACGTGGATGAACCTGGAGGACAGTATGCTAAGTAATATTAAACCAGTTACAGAAAGATAAATTCTGCATGAGTCTACTCATATAAGCATCGAAAATACTCAAATTCATAGAATTAAAGAGTGGAATGAAGATTGCCAGGGGATGGGGGGAGAGGGAATTTGGGAGTTACTAACTGACAAGCTTAAAGGTTTAGTTAAGGGAGATGAATAAGCTATGGAGATTTCTGTGCAATACGATACCTATAGTAATAATGTGTTGTATACTTAAAATTTTTAAAGCTCTTGCTTCAATTAAAATAATTTTTTAAATGAAAGGTCACTATGCTCTTTAACATAACATTAAAATTTTTTTGCATACATACGTCACCGTTATAAAGAGGATATAATCATTAATTATCAATTAAAATAATTGAAAAATGGCTTCTCTTTTTTCTACACTATAGTCTCATGTTCCAATTTGGCAAAGTACTCATTTAAAAATAAAAATAAAATCACAGAGTTTGCATTTGTATTTAATATTTTTTGAATCAGACAGTCCTAATGATGTAAGTAGAAATATTTTACCAATGTCACTAAATATTTATTTTCAAATTTGTATTTTGTTCATTGAGTAAACATATGTATATATCACATTACATTAAATAAAATTACAAAGACTTTTTTTATATTTAATTCATATTCATATAGAGCTTGGTTAAGGTAGTCTTTTTGACCCATGTAATTCAAATTCAGACACATGTATAAAACTTTGAAACATTTTTAAACCATGGAGAATATTGCTGCTCATCAGAAGTAGAATGCTCATATTTAGCCCTTAAAAAAGTTATTAAGAAAAGGTTTTATTTTGAAAATAACATTAATTTTTAAACTTTTTTAAAATTGAGGGCACAGAGTCAGCGTAGAAAATGCGTTATAGTTTACTCAGTTTCTCCTATTCTTTCTAATAATAAGCTAAAATTATTTTTACTTTCACATCTTAGTGATAATCTGAGATAAGTGGAAATGAAAACGTGGTAAAATAAAGCAATATACTCATTAAGTTAATATAAAGCATGACTTACTATGTTTTATGTTCCTCTGTGTCCTGATAAAACGGATGCCAAATGCTATTCTTAGCTTTAACTATTGGCTTTGATGGTTGCTTCTCATTACAAACACAGCAGCCACTTCTGAATGGCTTGCTTGCATATATTTCAGGTGTTCAGAAAAGCCTGTTGGCCAGCTTCTCCACCATCTAAACATTATTTATCTGAATGTTTAAGCTGTGCCTGAAGACCTTCAACGAGACGAGGTTGCATCCCTCTCAGATTCTAAGCAGGTATTTATGTGTGTTCTTTACTATTTATTCACTATTGTTTATCAAAATTTTGTGTTATTGAGACTACAATGTCAATCAGATTTCTTTTTAAACAAGATTCAAATTCACTACATCTTTTATCCTATAATTTTATCTGTAAAACAACTTACTTTTGTTGTTCAAGCTATAGCAATTATTCGTGCACCTTCTTTTGTATAACTAAGCTGTTCTATCTGCCATCTGTTTATATGCATGATTATATCTGGAAGAAAATTACAAGCATTTGGCCTTGTATACATTTGGACTTATTGTTGCTATTTTTGTTGTGTGTATGAAAACCACTAGAGTACTACAGAATTGCACTGAATGATTTTTAAATACTTTATTTACCTATACTGATATTTGTTGAAGTCCTCTATTAAACTAAAAAGAAAATACAAAAACAATTGTGGGGATTGAGGATTTTTACTTCTGTTAAACTATCAAGAAAGGACTAAAGGCCGGGCATGGTGGCTCACGCCTGTAATCCCAGCACTTTGGGAGGCCGAGGCGGGGGGATCACGAGGTCAACAGATCGAGACCATCCTGGTCAACATGGTGAAACCCTGTCTCTACTAAAAATCCAAAAAATTAGCTGGGCATGGTGGCACGTGCCTGTAGTCCCAGCTACTTGGGAAGCTGAGGCAGGAGAATTGCTTGAACCCAGGTGGCGGAGGTTGCGGTGAGCCGAGATCGCGCCATTGCACTCCAGCCTGGGTAACAAGAGCGAAACTCCGTCTCAAAAAAAAAGAAAAAAGAAAGGACTAAAAATTAAAAACAGGCAAGGGTTGCATAAAGTGGATACAGATACAAAATAAAGGAAAACATAATTTCTGAAGTACAGGCGCTCTATAAATAAATCTGACAAATACTGTATTTGAACACTTCTAGAAATAAAAAAATCAATACTATCCTTGCATCATTCAACCGCTCTCATTATTCAAAAGCTTTAAACTCATTGGTAAAATAATTAGAGCTGCTGAAGTTCACTTTGTTTTTTCTACTGCAGTTCTATAATAATAATTATGAAGACATCTTTGGATTCATATGTATCGTCTACTCAACCTATGAATGTTTCACACTGTGTTCATCTCTTCAGTAAATTCTCAGCATTTTAATGTTAAGTGACTCCATGATTTTTTTTATTGCATTTTAGATTTTGGGGTACATGTGAAGAACATGCAAGATTGTTGCATAGGTACACACATGGCAGTGTGATTTGCTGCCTTCCTCCTCTTCACCTATATCTGGCATTTCTCCCCATGCTCTCTCTCCCCAACTTTCCACCCCCTGCTGCCCCTCCCCTATTTCCCCCACAGACCCCAGTGTGTGATGCTCCCCTCCCTGTGTCCATGTGTTCTCATTGTTAAACACCCACCTATGAATGAGAACATGTGGTGTTTGATTTTCTGTTCTTGTGTCAGTTTGCTAAATCAAAAAGCTAGAAACATATTTTTTGCTCTTCTAATGTGTACTATCTTTGTATTATTGAGGAATACACTGACTTTGGTTCCTTATTTGTGAGGTCTTTTCCCACTCACGCATTTCACGGTAACTTGCCTTTCTATACTGTATACACTATTTATAGAATGACTTGTCTTTTTTGAAAAATCTCTTAAATTTCCTATTACAACAATCTTATTCTATGTGCCTTTTGTTTACTATCTTACTGAAATATACTACTACAGAATTTTGAAGACTTTGGTTTCTTCATCTGCAAACCAATTCCATGTATATCTGAGAAACACATTCATTTATTCTGCACTTACTGAGAATGATACTAGGCTGTTAAGATGCAACAATAAACAAAACAAAAGTGCTCCCTAAATAGAGTTTATATTATTTGCAGGATGCATAGGAAAGCAAACAGTTAATACCAATTAAAATCGGCTGCACCGTAGAGGCCTGTCAAGAATGGTAACACAGAGCCAGCTTAAATCGCTTTCATTTTGTTTTACTATCCAACCTTCAAACCAAATTGCAAAGGCCTTATGATATAAGAAGTCAATTAAAATTATACAGACAGCTCCCAATATTTCTCTAGTTACTTTAGTTAATTCCACTCACTCAAGGTTGAATGAGCCAGAAAACACAGCCTTGTTCCTTTTATACCATTAGACTGCAGGAAATGACAAATAATTAAATATCTTTACCATGTAAATCAGTACCTTATGGTGTTACAGGCACATATATCCATGAATCACTTTTTTCATGAGCCTTAGACATTCAGCAGGCCTGGAACTGGGTAACAAGCAGAGGCTGGGACACTTCGAGGGCTCAGAAGGCAGGAAAATGTGGGAAGGTCTGGAACTTCCTAGAGACCTGTTGAATGGTTTTGCCCAAGATGCGAATAGCAATATGGACAATAAAGTCCAGGCTGAGGTGGTCTCAGACGGAAATAGGGAACTAGTTGGGAACTGGCAAAAAGGTGACATTTGTTATGTTTTAACAAAGAGACTAGTGGCGTTTTGTCCCTGCCCTCTCTAGGAGGAGGGCCTTTGAACTTGTGGGAGATGATTTAGGTTATCTGGAGAAGAAATTTCTAAGCAGTCAATCATTCAAGAGCTGGTTTAGATGCTGTTAAAGGCATTCAGGGTTTTCTTTTTCTTTTTTTTTAAAATGGAGTCTCACTCTGTTGCCCAGTATGGAGTGCAGTAGCACAGTCTTGGCTCCCTGCAACCTCCACCTTCTGGGTTCAAGAGATTCTCCTACCTCAGCCTCCAGAATAGTTGGGATTACAGGCACCTGCCACCATGCCTGGCTATTTTTTTTGTATTTTTAGTAGAGATGGGGTTTTGCCATGTTGACCAGGCTGGTATTGAACTCCTGACGTGAAGTGATCTTCCCATCTCAGCCTCCCAAAGTGCAGGGATTACAGGTGTGAGCCACCACGCCTGGCTGGTGTTAGGCTCTATAAGGAACGCAGATCATAAAAGTCTGAAAATTTGCAGCTTGACAATGCAATAGAAAAGAAAATCACATTTTCTGAAGAGAAATTCAAGCCACCTATAGAACTTTGCAAAAGTAATGAGGAGCTGAATGTTAATCCCCAAGACAATAGGGTAAATGTCCCCAGGAGATGTCAGAGGTCTTCATAACAGCATCTTTCATCACAATGAAGGCATAGGAAGGCAAAACGGTTTTGTGGGCTGGGCCTCGGGTCCCAGTGTTGTGTGTAGCCTAGGGACTTGGTGCCCTGCATCCCAGCCACTCCAGCCATGGCTGATAGGGGCTAACATAGAGCTCAGGCTGTGGATGCAGAAGGTGGAAGCCCCAAGCCTTGGCAGTTTCCATGTGGTGTTCAGCCTGCAGGTGCACAGGTGCCAATAATTGGGGTTTGGGAATCTCTGCCTAGATTTCAGAATATGTATGGAAACACCTGGATGCCCAAAAATTCGCTGCAGGGGCAGGGCTCTTATGGAGAATCTCTGCCAGGGAATTGTAGAAGGGAAATGTGGGATTGATGTCCCCACAAAGAGTCCCTACTGGGGTGCTGCCTAGTGGGGACGTAAGAATAGGGTCACCATCCTCCAGACCCCAGAATGGTTGATCTGCCAACAGCTTTCTTGGTTGGGTGTTGAGTGCCTGCAGCTTTTCCAACTGAGCACTTGGAAAAGCTGCAGGCACTCAACACCCAACCAAGAAAGCTGCCACGAGGGCAGCTGTAACCTGAAAATCCGTAGGGGCAGAACTGCCCAAGACCATAGGAACTCACTTCTTGCATCAGCATAACCTGGATGTGAGACATGGAGTCAAAGGGGATCATTTTGGAGCTTTTTTTTTTTTTTTTTTTTGAGACAGAGTCTTGCTCTGTCTCCAGGTGCCAGGCTGGAGGACAATGGTGCAATCTCGACTCACTGCAACCTCCACTCCCGGGTTCAAGCAATTCTCCTGCCTCAGCCTCCCAGGTAGCTGGGATTACAGGCACGTGCCACCACGCCTGGCTATTTTTTTTGTATTTTTAGTAGAGACAGGGTTTCACCATGTTGGCCAGGATGGTCTCGATCTCTTGACCTCGTGATCTGCCCGCCTCGGCCTCCCAAAGTGCTGTGATTACAGGCTTGATCCACAGTGCCTAGCCCATTTTGGAGCCTTAAGATAACAGTTGCCCAGGTGGATTTTCGACTTGCATGGGGCCTTTAGCCCTTTCATTTTGGCCAATTTCTCCCATTTGGATTGGCTGCATTTACCCAATGCCTGTACCCACGCTGTAGCTAGAAAGTAACTAACTTGCTTTTACTTTTACAGGCTCATGGTGGAAGGGACTTGCCTTGACTCAGATGAGACTTTGGACTCTGGATGTTTGAGTTACTGCTGAAATGAGTTAAGACTTTGGGGGACTGTTGGGAAGGCATGATTCGTTTTGAAATGGGAGGACATGAGATTTTGGAGGGACCAGGGGCAGAATGATATGGTTTGGCTGTAACCACACCCAAATCATCTTGCATTGCAACTCCCATAATTCCCCCATCAAAGGACCCAGTGGGAGAGAATTGATTCATGGGGGCAGGTCTTTCCCGTGCTATACTAGTGATAGTGAGTATGTCTCATGAGAGCTGATGGTTTTATGAAGGGAAGTTTCCCTGCAGACGTTCTCTTGTCTGTCACCATGTGAGACCCGCCTTTCACCTTCTGCCATGATTGCGAGGGCTCCCCAGTCACATGGCACAGTGAGTCCATTAAAAGTCCATTAAACCTTTTTCTTTGGTAAGTTGCTCAGTCTCAGGCATGTCTTTATTAGCAGCATGAACATGGACGAATACAGCTTCTTTATCATTGCCGATGTTAGTGTTTCACCTTTACCTGTGGTATAGATGAGGCTCGCGAAGGCACCATAATACCTAGTTCTGAGGCACACGTAGGTAGCTGTTCCATATGTTTTCCATTTTATCTTCTTTTGCCCAGAATCACCTTTGTTGCATTCTGTTCTGAGAACTGAAAAGCCAAGGTCTTAAAGTGTTGGCTTTGATAATGAGATGTGG